AGAATATGACGAGATTAGATTCAGATCAAGCCTGAGTCCAGTTCATAGATTAAACCCAAATCATCAAAAGACAAGTCAGACTCATGACTTTAATTCAGTCAAGAGTTCAAGAAAAATCAACACACGTGGAAAAACAATCATTAGATAGTCATGACTCTAAGATAGTGTTTATTTCCAATTGTAACTAACTTTTCCAATAAACTAGTACCTTCACTTTCATGACACTGCCTCAACTAAGACTCTAAGCCTATAAATTGTAAATCACCTACACATGGGCGCAAAGATCTCACACACATCACCTTAAACATACTTTTGCTCTTTCTTTTTCTCTCCTACTACATTGTACTCTCTCATTAATAGTGTTCTTCGGCCACCGTTGCCGCCTTTAATGGTTAGATCCCCAAACTCAACCACACAATCTTTATCTCTTATTATTAACTGTTTTATTAATTCACCTACACCACACACTTGATTGATTTAATTGTGTAAAAATTCACTTTTATAGATCATCAAAATTTAATAACATACACACAATTCATTGCTAAATTTATGTAAATATTGAAATGATTATATCCATTTTCCCTCTCCTCTTTATTCCATCTATTATCTCTTACATATATGTTATCCTAGGGGTAACCTTGCCTAAAGACACGGTGTAATGTAAACCAACTCTTTAATTTGAAGAAATGAGGATTGAAGATCTCAGAGAGCAGTGATGGAGCTAAAAATATGATTTAGGATGGATACACTTTAAGTATAAATTTTATTGTCTTTAATAGATAAAAACAATGTTATATATTTATATTTTTTATATCAGATTTGATATTTAAAAATTCATTAAACATAAAATTGGTCTGTTTGAAAAAAATTAATAATATAACATCTATACATCAAGGATCAGTTATATAATTTATTTAACACAAATATAAGCAATATTCTATAATTTTTAATTTTCTTACAAATTTCATATTTTAGTCATTTTTGAGTATATATTCCATAATTTTTGAACCAAAAGAGGTTGCAATAAATCATACTAATACTTTAAGAAATCAATTTTAGTTTACTAATTTTAAGAGATTTAGTATCGATTTTTTGTTTTGTTTTTTTGTTCTAGTGCCCAACTTGTATGACCCAATTAATTTTGTTTGTCATAAATAATTACAGTGAGCCTAATTAAGAATATCTAAAAAATATATAAAACATATATAACTAAAATATATATATATATATTTTCTTGGGTGGCCCCAGACCCGTCTTGTCCCTCTTTCCTCCGCCATTACCAGAGAACGAGAGAGTGAAGAATGAGAAAAAAAAAGGTAAAATTTAATTTGAATGATTTTGAAAAATGTTGATGACTATTTAATTAGTTTATTTGAGACTGTCAGATGAACTTATTGAAATCTATCCTATTTTATATTATAAATAAATCTACAAAATATGATAGAATTGACTTAAAAAAAATATTAATTTATATAAATGTAATCAAAATCGAGTCAAATTTAATACAAACTAAAAATCCAATTTATCAAAAAGCACGTCTTTAAAATATTTTATATCAAAAAAAGATCTACAAATATCAAAAATAAATTATTATTTTTAATTAGTACAAGTTATTACAAAATTATTTATTTATAAGAATATATTAGTGTTGGATTTTCTTAAAAAATTAAAAAAAAATAGTCTTGAACTTTTGATTTAAGATATGTGTAAGACATGTTAGTTTGAGATAATTAATTAAATAAATAAAATTAAAATTAATTATATTTAATATAAATGTGTTAAACATCACCCTTGTTTTTTTATTTGTTAAATTAATGAATTTTTTTTAATCAAAATGTTATCATTGTGTCTGATAAAAATTAAAAACATTTTACTACATATACGATATTAATGGCAAATTTTATCCATTTAATTATTATGTCAGAGAAAATACTGTGTTCCAAGGTTAGCCGTAATCGTTGGCCGGTTGGAGGAGAAAATATTAAAGAAAAAAATACTAATTTCTTGACTATTAGATGAATGAATTAAAGACCCTAGAATATGTTCCAAAATTAACCGTAATTGTTGACCGGTTGGAGGGAAAATATTAAGGAAGTAATTTATTAACCATTTGATAAATGAATTTGAGACCGTAAGATAAAACTTGTTGAAGTGACCCTGTTTTATATTATAGAATTATAAAACTGCTTTATTCCATCTATTATCTCTTACATATGTTATACATTCAAGCATGCATACATACAACCACAATGACAATGGTATAACCACATTGACAGAATGAGACATCAACAGTGACATATCACCGCATGCATCCACATTGGTAAAACGACGATGATTACTGTCACAATAAAAACACATTTTCACAAAGACATTAGAAATTAATGTCACACTAGTTGTTACTGTCACAATAGAATACACAATGACACAACAACAACCGGCACAACAATACAACTAGAAATTCATGCTTCATTGCTCGAGCAATGGGAGAATAGTGCCCATTGAAATAAAAATTGGATTCAAATCACATTTTTCATTTTATTACCTAGTGTTGAGAGAAACGACATATGACAACGCTTGAAAGTTTTAACTGACTTAACAAAGTTTCGGCTCGGCTCGGCAACACCATCTTCTTGTCCCCAAAGTTAATTGATTTCATTAATGATTCAGTGGACAAGGGTAATAATACACGTTAAACTTGTTACAACTATTTGTAAATGGTATAACATTTCAGTTTGGCGTTAACTTGGAAAATTCATGCCTATCATCTTGTGTGTTTATTCGAAAATCTAATACCCTAACCCTTAAAAAAAACCAAAAAAAAAAGAGAGAGGGTATGATGAAAATGTAGGAACATCTGAATGCATAGACCTCGGAAAAAGGAAGACAATGCCAGAATCTCCGTTCCCGTATCCTTATCGGCAACGTACAGCACTGAAAACACTATTAGAAAAAGTGCATCAGAGACTCTAATTTGTTGCCTTTAGAGTTTTAGCTTAAATCATTTCAAATAGGATCACCCAACCCAACCCAATCCAACACCTCTCAATTTATAACATTATACAAAGAATCTAATATTAAAAACAAACAAACAAACAAACAAACAAACAAAAGGCTCAGAGAGTAATGATTTTGGATAACATCAACAAGCTCGCAAGCTTTCATAGTTTGATGGTATATTTTTTCTTCGTCACTGCCTCTATTAATAGTGTTTCTTGGAAGCATAAAGACAAAAAATAATCGGAGATAAAAGATTTCTTCAAAACAGTTGACACATCAACTATGCCAGAAAAAAAAAATCAAAAATGAAAACAACAACAACAACAGCATATAAAATCAAAAAGGGGGCCTCAGACGCTTAGATACATCAAAAAGGAGCCTTAATAAAACATCCTCAGATGGTACGGACAATTTGTTTCGCATCACAGGCCCCGAGTTTCTGTGTCTGTGTCTGTGTCTGTGTCTGTGTATGTGACGAGAAGGGAGGGGAGGTCTAAGCAGAGAGTGAGGTTGAGAAAGATGGGCCTTGTGCATTGCTATGCACAGAAGGAGCAGAACGAACAGAGACGGAAATGGCGATGATCGAGCACCTTCCTGGCCTCTGCAGTCTTATCATTTATAGTGTTATATATATAATAGAGGAAAGGATGCCCGGTAAAACCCTAAAGTTTCTATGTGTCTAAAATTACTTCAATATCCTCGGAGTGCCTTTTTTATATTAGGGAAAATTACACTCAGGCTCCATAGAGTTTATCACTAAATCACTCAGAACTCTCTAACATTTAAAATATTACACACAGATCTCTTAAAGTTTGTACACGCGTAACATTTAATACCCTTCCGTCAATGTCCATTAATAAATTATATTCAAACTCCCTGAAGTTTGTAAATGTGTAATACTTAGACCCATAAAATTTAAAATGTTATACTTAAACCAAAAAATACTCCAATCAAATATAGAATATCAAATATTTTAAATTTTACAATCAAAATTCATGTTCTATTATGTCATTTAATGAAATAAAATTAAAAATAAAAAAATAAAAAAACTTATATTTAGTATACAATTATATTATCTATTAGAATTTAAATAAATCGTTTAAACGATCAAATTAAACTACCAAATTAAACTACCAAATTATTGTATCTATTACAGTTTGATCATTTATTTAATTATATTCAAATAGATAGTATAATTATACATTAATTATGATTTGAACTTTGGTTGTAAAATTCATGTTATATTATGAATGACTTAAACTCCTTGTTTGATTTTTTTAGTTTTATTCCAACAAATAGTTTAATTGTATACTAATTATAATTGTTTAAGAAAAAAATAATTTTTTATTTTTGATTTTATTTTAATAAATGATATAATAGAACATAAATTTTGATTATAAAATTTAAAATATTTGATATTCTATTTTTGATTGAAATATTTTTGGTCTAAGTATAATATTTTAAATTTAAGGGGTCTAAATATTATATATTATAAATTTTAAGGAATTTGAATATAATTTATTAACAAATATACTAATATACATTTGACACTAGGGGTCCCTAAGTATTACATGTTTACAAATTTTAGAGAGTGTGTGTTATAATATTTTAAATGTCAGGGATCTGAGTAATTAAGTTACAAAACTCAAGAAGTTTGAGTGTAACTCTCTCTTTATATTATATACTTTGCCGTGTTTCTAATTGTTGAATTTTTAGTGTATAAGGTTATGGTAGATTTGTAGCTATAAATCTTATCTTTATTCATTCATTATTATTGATCAAAAAAATAATAAAATAAAATAATTATTTTTACACCTTACAGTTTTATTACATATATAAAAAATAATTGAATGGTTCATTCACTTGAATATTTGTGTCATGTATTCCGTATAATACAATCTGCAACATATACGTAAATAACAACTAAGAGAATGTCGGACAGTATTTAACTATTATTTGGGTACCATTTGATAATATGACTAAAATAACTTCTCTATTACGAAATTGGTGCACTGAGATGTCTTCATTCAAATACTAGAGAAACGGCATTAATTAATATGAAAAGCTTCCAGAGGTGCAAACACAAATACAAATTCGATAGTACTAGCAGAGAGAACTTGGCTACCTACTAAACAAAATCATTCAAGTTCATCAGGGGCTCTGCGCGGGGAACAGCTGAGCTCAATCATTGTCACCACCATTGCCCACTATCATCAGACCTTCGTCTTGTGTTCTGGTCTGTGAGTGAACTCAAAATCTATATGAACAAATGCTCGTTCGACCTCAGAGAGTTGCTCAAGCTTTTCTTGCAGTGTTTCTCCAATATTATGTGCTTGACTCAGAAGCATGTCCTCCGCCAACACAATGTCCACCTCCACAAAGTAATGAGAACCAAAAGTGTACGCTTTAACTGTGTCAATATGCTTGATCTCTTCATCATGGTTCCATATAAGATATGTTAATTTTGTAAGGAAATCTGGTGGAGCTGTTCTTCCAATAAGCGACCATACATTTTCAATAACCGTCCTTGCCCATGTGCTCATCGTATATAATGCTATCTGTATTCCAGACAAAGAATATTTATTAGTATAGTAGACAGGCTAAGGCTTAATACTACATACAGCACAAAATTCATCTACTCTATTGCTCTCCTCTGATTTATTAATTGAAGGTGTTACAATAATTCAATGAATAAGGACACAGATATTAATCAAAGGTGTTCCCAGAAGGAGGATATTAATCAATTTACTAGTAGCATCCTGAACTGCAATTACTCAAGGATCGCAACAATTTTATTTTTTTTTATTCAGGGGGCAGGGGGAACAATTGATATGAGGCACAAGAACGTGAAGACAAGGAATGGATAAAAGCTAGAACAATCCTGTGCTGGTTGTGAACTTACTATTATAGCCCCAGTAGGATCAATCCACCAGTAGAATCGGACTGCTAGGACAGCTGTTGCTAACCCAACTGAGTTGGTGATGACATCAAAGAGATGATCTTGTGCATAGGCTCTCACAATTTCATTTTTAAATCTCCGACAATAGATCATGAGCAGAAACTTCACAACTGTGACGGAAACCATAATCCCTATCATCCATTTTTCCTTCTCGCGATCAAGGGCATGATGAGACTGCTCAAAGTTATCATAAAATAACAGGAAGTGGTTAAACATTGCAAACATTTGATACAATTTAGCCCTATTTTGGGCAAAATATTTAGCCATCCACTTGAGTTCTCTCATACAAAATGTAGCATAAATTAGTTGGAAAAACAATTCCCCTAAAAACTTGATCTTATATTTTAGGCAATCCCTCCCAACTAATTCAAGCAAATCAACTGATCTTGATCAAAAAATAACTTTGGTCTCAGACACTGATTTTAGCTGTCATTAATTGGATTTCTCACCAAGTGTTCTGAAATCATTTTGCACAATACCAAGATGATAAGATTGTCCCGGTGTAAACCAGACTCAATCTCCCAGTCTGGTGCGTGTTTTCATTCCCAGCTCGTAGGGCACAAGCTATTAGAGGAGGAGTTGAATTTCTCTACAATAGGGTATATTCATGTTAACACGTATACATTTAGCATAACATGTAAGAAAGGGTGCTTCACATTTCAGTGTGTCTATGATAAAGGTATACAGAGAAATTATTCTGATTTCTCAACCCTTTTCTTCTTCTACACTCATCCTGTTTCTTCTTCTTGATCTACATCAAGTATCAAAGCTATAACGATCTACATCACCTATCCATTAAATTCTTTTCAGCTGAAGTGATGAACATAAACTATAGCTAAGCTAACCTCCCTCAGCATGAAGTGATAATGACAAGAAAAGTATATAAATTATTTGTCATGCGTAGTTTATCTTACCCTATCTTTATACCCTTAAAAATCTACACGAGGCCCTTACAGATGCGACTGTTGGCCTAAATTCCTCACTCTAACCTTTAAATTAAAATCTAAGTCTGAATGCTCCCATTCTAAGTGTGTTACCACCCTAGTTGGTCATACAGCCAAGTTATCACATACCTGAGAAATGAGCTCTCTAATGGACTCGAGCAGTATTTGTAATCCAAGAGTTGCCATTACCGAAGCAAAGACTATAATACCCTGCAAACTTTACTTGATTAGTATAAATACTTGGGTGGAAAAATGGGGCTTTCAAAAACAATCTTTAACACGTATAGGATAAGGAGTATACATAAGCACTGTAACCTGATAAGTGAAGTCAGACTTCAATAGGCATGCGCAAAAAATTACAGGTTCCCCAGCCCAGTCTTATCTATAATAAACCTTTTAGGCAACTGTCATTAAGGATATTTAGTAAGAGAATTTAAAGTAAGTGTGACCTTAAACTGAGACAAGATTAACAACAATTTCATTAATCAAATTTGGCAGACTAATCAGCATCGCATAATAAAATGCACATTATCCTTTAAATTCTAAAAGTAACTATCAATATCCAAGAAAAATGTCTTCACGCAACGATAAGGTGACTCTATTGTGACATAGGTGTTAAAGGTTTGAAACGCAAAAATAGCATCTCCACATGCTGGGGGGGCAAGACTGCTTACACCCGACCGACCCTTTCCATCCTGTAGTGGCAGGGCCACTCTTTGATTATAACTTTTCAAGAAAAATGTGAAGTGGATTGCAAAGCTCATTAGTGGAGCTATGCACTTTACATTACACAAGAATAGGCAAAAACTATTTCCAAGTTGCGCATCCACTATACTTTTTGTTCTATTAAATGGCATTTAATGTATAAAAATAAATTAGTCAAGTAACAAAAAAAATTGTTGACAAGAAAATTGAGGACAAGATATATGAAATCAATAATCCTGTTCTCAATAAAATATATGATTATGACAATAACAACTAATAAAAAATTTGCAGGGCTCTTTAATAATATTCACAACTCTAGTTCAAAATCATAGTCCGTGTTCACAGGGTCAATGATTTCTCCATTCCATTATAACAAAGGAAGTAATGCCATCACACAAATAAGTAAAGAATAAGGCATAGTTAAGGCAAGACGAGCAGTATTCACTAATCATGTCCATGACTCGAGAGTATCATCCAGTACTAATATGACTTGGTCATGTTGTATCTAGAAGGGCATCTTCGGTTTCGAGACCAATACACCTTATGCGTAAACCATGAGTTTCACTTGACTCCTGGTTGAAGCATAAAAATCTTGAATGATTCAATCAACTCGTCCAAATCATCAACATTGGATGACAACGTGTTGCTCAATATCGTGACTTCTTGTTCTTCTATCCAACATTTTGTGTATCGTCTGATACCATTTCACTACATCAGGCCCGATGCGTATCAATTCCCTCCAAGTCGATAACTGATACCCCGACCTTGAACAATGATCCTTATGCTTTGAAGAATCCTCTATCCCCACACCCTACAGTGATAATGCATACACTCACTTACCTCCCCCTCCACCCGACCCACCAAAAACACCCACATCTAGGAGACAAGCAAAAAACTCAAAGTGATGGTTGGAAATAGAAGTCAATATTTCAGGTTGTTTTCCACCAAACTATAATGAATCTAACATCGTATAAAATGCACTGGTAAGATTGACATACCACAGGTTGCATCCTCTTCTTTCCAATAGGATAGTGATACTGGTTTGGGTTTCTCATGGCATGGGCAGTGAACCACAGAATAAATCCAGATAAGAGGTCCAAAAGGGAATCCAAGGTTGACGCAATAACTGCCAAAGATCTGCTCTCGAGAGAAGCGTAAACTTTTGCCACGAAAAGCACCACGTTAGCGATGTTGGACGCATGAATTGCCATCCTCTCACTCCTCGCAACGTTCTCCAATTCATCCTGAAAATAAATATTGATGGATTTAAGAAAAAGACATTGCTCAAGTCAGTTGAATAAAACAGTATTGTTTTGATTGTAGAGGACCATCTAGTATTTTTAGAAGTTGTGTCATGGAACTTAACAATTACATATTCTTTCATAACTGGCAGGAGTAATACTGAAAGGGAAGAAAAGCACAATTAATACAGGTTTTTATACCATATTATTGTATGCTTTTACCATTGCAGTATGTCTCAGAAATTGCCTTTCCTAACCAAATATATAGTGGTTATTTAAACCAATGACATGAAAAAAATATCAAAGTTAGAAAGTCAAATAAAAAAAATTGCATGGAGTTACCCAAGATTGATGTAGAAGTTCCCAGATATGCCCTGATGTTAATGTTTTAGTGTAGTTGAATTTGGCAGTATTATCTCATCTCATCCTATCCAACCTCTCAAATCAAATGCGTGCCTATGAAGTATGATTTTCTTCCTAAGAAACGATTATTAATTATCATGTAATACCTAAAGCCCATCTTGAGGATAATGATTGTAGCAACAACAGCAGCAACAGAATCAACACAATCAAAAAAAACAAACCTCTGTTAGACTTCCAGGTAAACCACCCGATTCATGTATAGTTTCCATTTCATTGAACCCTTCGAGGAGTCGTTCTTGCTTTTTGTAATATTCTACAATCTTGCCTTGTTTCCCTAAGTGAATAAAAAAAGAAAGAGTATTGTATGAAGTCATGCAAATACGGAACAATTAAAACAAAATTTAAGGATGCAGTGACAACTTTTTGAATTGAAAAGTCCAGCTCAATGTCCCATGCAGATGAATTTGAGAGGACCTTCTGTTGAAACTAGGGTAAAATGACGAGACCGAAAAGAAAATGCTGGATATGCTTAAATTAAGAGAAAGATAGAATGATACTCAAAAATGGTTTCCTTGTGATAATTCTTGAGGCTGTTTTGACTTATACTTGAGGCGATATAGGTGCTTTCTTTTCAATGTTATAACCATCTTGTTAACAGCTACTGTTGGTGTAAGACCTTCAGTACCTATGTCAACAATGGTTACACACTAATTTACGAGATCCTCAGTGACAACCAAGCTATAATCAAGAAAATCCTTATCAAGGATAGTCTAAGAGATTAAAAAAAGTGAGACAACCAATTAGAATCATAATCTTCTTCCCAAAACTAAATGAATTGCTAGCCATTGACTGGTTGTCAATTGGAAGGCTAGGTACTTGAACAAGTTTCTGATATTCATTTGTAGGCGGTCAGCAAAAAATTAAGAAAACGTGAGATTAGAACCCAATCAATCTAAAGTATGATATGAGCTGACCAATAAATTCCTCTTTATCAATAAGATCCAAAATAAGAACATAAGAGAGAGAAAGGAAAAAGGAGAGAAAAAAAAACTCCACATTCTTTTTTTTTTAATCCTAAAAACGATTCCACTGGGAATCAAACCTGTTAAGAGTATTAGGGTATTATGTATAAATTGTTAAGAGTGTTAGGGTATTATGTGTAAATATAAGAGGGTGTATTTGTCTTTCTTAATTATTGTAAGTTAATTATAAATACAAGTGATATATGAGAACTAGGTCAAGTTTTAACCTCTCTCTGTTTCTCTCTAATATCATATTAATCTTTTACACTTAACATGGTATCAGAGCAATTACAATCATAAATATATTCTGCAAAATTAACTCTAGTGGTACTGTTGTAACGTTGTTCGTCGAAGCCATCGTGGTGGTGGTGTTACTGTTGTTGTGGTTGATCTCTGTGTTGTGGTGGTGTGGTACTGTTATTGTGGTGGTCTTGGTCGTTTGCCGTCGTTTGTTGTTCGTCGTCGTGGTGTGGCTGTGGTGGTGTACTTTTGCCATTCGTCGTCGTCGTCGTGGTGTGGCTGTTGTGGTGGGCTGTCGTTCGTCGTGGTGGTGAGGCATAGTCGAAGACCAGGGTCCACTAGAACCCTAATCAACAAAGAAGACAAGGTCCAGACCTGAGAAAAGGTCTAGACCCAACTCCACGGGTTTGGATAAAAGACCCAAACTCAAACCTAAGTCAACGGGTTTAAATTGTGATCCAACCCAATCAGATCGGGTCCAACCCAGTCTAGTTCTGATGCAGCCCAATCAAATCAGGTCCAGCCTAGACCGGATCAATCCGATTTGATCCTGAGTCAGCTAGTTTATGCAGTTCAACGGTCCAATAAGTTTTTGTGGTCCAGTTCAAATAGTTTTGCACCAGTTCAAACCGGTTCAATCAATTTTTACTCCAGTTCAGCGGTCCAGCGAGCCTATTATATTTGGTTCAGTGGTCCAACAAGTCCAACCGGTCCGGTTCAGCGGGCTAGAGGGCCCAACCTATCCGGTTCAACTGTCCAACCAGGTTTTCCAGCTCGATTCAGTCTTCTAGCAGTCTCTTTTCCTCTAGTTCAGCATTACAACACTTCTTGTTTGCTATTTGTTGTACTGTGATGGAACCCAAGCAAGATACCAGGTCCCTTACTCTATCTTTGCCTCCTCCGACTCTTATCAATGGTCTCATGACCTCTGTTAAACTCAATGGGACCAATTATACTTAATGGTTCCGATCTGTTCAAATCTTTCTTTGAGACAAAGGATTTAAGAAATATATGGTGGATCCTAAACCCAAGGAAGACACTCCTGGGTATGATCAATGGGAACAAAAGGACACTCAAATTATTTCTTTACTATTGAATAGCATTGAGCCTAGTATTAGTTTTATTCTGCTCTATCTTGACACCGCCAAGGAGATATGGGATCACTTGGCCACTATGTATTCTGGTACAAGTAATTTTACCCGAGCTTATAAGGTGTGCAAGGAGTACTTCCGGCTGGAACTGAGTACTCTGAGCATGGAGGATTATTATTCTCACGTTCGGGGAGTCTATGAGAAGATGAAGACCTTCTAACCATTTATTACTGATACAGCAGTTTGGTAGAAGCAACATGAGGAAATGAATGTTGATAGGTTTTTGGAAGGACTAAAACCTGAATATGAGGCTATTCGTTCTCAGATTTTGAGTGGTTCTAGTGTTCTTTCACTACTTGAGGTTTTCTCTTATGCACAGCGAGCTACTTTGTCTGCTTCGGGCATCAATCATGGTGTCTCCACTGATCGCTCAGCTCTTGTTGTCCCTAATAGCCACAGTGATGGTCATCAGGTGGTCAAGGTGGTCGAGGAAGTCATACAGGAGGTCGTACGGGTGGTTATAGGGGCCATAGTGGACCTCGTTCTTGTACTCACTGTGGCCGTGGAGGACACACTGTTGATTTCTGTTAGAATTCACATGGAAAACCTTCTAGTGCTGCGAATCAGGCTTCTTATCAGGATGACACCTCTATTGTTGCTTCCATACCTCGGTCAGCTTCACCAGACACTGGGTCGATTACTCTTACACGAGAGTATGCTCAGTTCCTGTCCTTGCAATAGGTTGTTTCATCTCCCTTCACTGCTACTTTTGCCCAGTCAGGTACTGTTTTCACTTGTTTATTATCCTCCACTCGCAGTCCCTGGATCATAGACTCTGGCGCTTCTGACCATATAACAGGTGTGTCTAATGTTTTTTCTACTTATCAGTCTGCTACTTCCTCACGTAGTGTTATTCTTGCTAATGATACTTGTTCTAAAATTTTAGGTCTAGAGACTACTCACTTAAGTCCTGATGTGTCTCTATCTTCCGTGTTATTTGTTCCTCACAGTGTTTTAAAACCCGGTCCGGCCCGACGGGTCAACCGGTCAAAAATCGGTTTATAAATCAAAGAACCCGGTATAAACCCGGTATATTCACCAAAAGACCGTTTATGCAAAGAACCCGGTATAAACCCGGTGAATCGATCAAAAATCGGTAAACCCGTGAGAACCAGACGAGTTTAGCAAATCGGCCGATTTAACGTCATATGTATAAATCTGAGCTTTTTTCATCTTTTGGGCATTTTTTGTTTTTACCCCTTTTGTTTTGCCCTAAATTGTTGCAGGCCAGCGATCCAAACCAGCAACCACAGCCTCCACTCCAAAAGAAGCAGCGATCAGCCTCCACCACCAACAGCTAATGATCAATAGCGATCAGCCTCCACCAACAACGATTGACCAGCATCCAATCCAGTGAGTTTCCCCCACTCTGTCTCTCTCTCTCTCTCTCTCTCTCCCTTTTTCTCTGTCTCTTTTGCGCTATTGGTGGTGGTGATGCTTACTCCATCGAAGCCATTACTGTCATGAAGGCTTATTATAATCAGAGGTTGAATTTCTTTTGTTGCCTTCTTATTGTCCTAGCCACTAAGGTAAATCATTCAGGGCTTTTTTTCATACATATATATATATTGATTTGTATTGTGGGTTTTTGTTTCTATCAATTTTTAGTTTATCAAATTAAAACTAAGAAAGGTGAAGAATGCAGAAGATAAAGAATGGCTTTTCAATTCTATTTATTTGTTCTAGTTTTGCTGTGTGTTTTTCTGTGTCTGAAATTTTTGGTTCTTGTTTTGCTGATTTATACAACCAATTATTTATTTTATTTTTTATAATTAAGCTAATCAGTAGAAGATAATTATTTAATATCCCTGAAATGGAAATTGGGCAAAAGTAGAAAAGTATATCAAGTGAATTCTATTGCAAATTCGATACCTATATGTTATTTGAATCGTTCACAAACATACATTCACCATTAAAATAGGCCTTTTTCTTTTTCTTCTTGTCCTTATTGAAAGATACTTCTTTCCAATTTTTCATACATATTAGTTTCTAGTATAGAGAACTTTAAATAACTTTACACGTTTGATGTTTAATGTTATTTTTATAACTATTGTAAATTTTTAGCTTATTTATTATTATTTATAATTATTTTTTAATTTTTTATTATATTACCGGTTCGACCAGTGACCCAACGGTTGAACCAGTGACTCATTGACCCGGTTCCTTCACCAGGTTGTAGTCCGGGCCAAGTTTTAAAACTATGGTTCCTCAATTTCCTTTTAGTTTATTTTTCATCAGCAAGATTACTCGTTCTCTCAATTGTTCTGTAACTTTTTATCCCTCTTATTATGTCTTTCAGGATCTCAAAGACGAAGAGGTGATCCGGGACTTGAAACTAGTGGCCTATATTATTTTGATTTTGATTCACCTACTCAGGCTCTACAGACCTCGTTGTCTTCTTTTCAATGACATTGTCATCTTGGACATCCCTCTCTCTAGAATCTAAAGCGCTAAGTTCTCAATCTTAGTTATGTATCGTCTTTGTCTTGTAAAGCTTATCAACTTAGTAAGCATCATCGTGTGTCATTTCAGTTTAAAGTCAATAATTGTGTGTCTAGTCTATTTGAGTTAATACATTCTGATGGATGGGGTCCAATAAAGAATATTTCATCTAATAAATATCCTTATTTTGTATCATTTGTAGATGACTATTCTTGTGTGGCTTGGTTATGTCTGATGAAAGTTCGGTCTGAATTATTCTCTATATTTGAGACCTTTCGTAAGGAAATAAACACTAAATATGATTTTCGTATACGTATTTTACGTTCTGACAATACTCGGGAATATGAATCTGACCCTTTTTCAGCTTATCTTAGTAAAACTGGCATTAAGATTTCCTATGCTTACACCTCTACATAAAATGGTGTTGTTGAACGCAAGAACCGTCATTTGTTGAAAGTCACCTGTGCCCTATTATTCCAGATGAATATTTTCAGATATTTTTGGAGTGATGTTGTTCTT